AGAAAACCAACCCATGCTCTCTTAGTGGTCAAGCCTCTCTGTGTGTTTTTGGCTGTTTCTCTCGGGAGTTGTGAAGGGCAAAGCCGTCTGTGATAAAATTAGGCCCTCTTACCATCTTCAGAAACAACACTGCATTGCAAATCCAGTAAGAGCTCCAATTCCTTCTGGGGCTGTTCCTGTAAAATTACCTGCATGCTCAGTTAGGATGGCAGATACCTTTCTGCACCAAGAATCGTGACATATATAAAATTATTCAAAAAACAGATAACATCTTATAACATTTTGAAGATGGGTTTTCAAACTCTTTCACTTGACTATAAGGTATACCAACACAACAAACCCCGGTTGCATCACTGGAGATGGGCATAATATCAGAAGACACAGAAACCAATATGTAGATGAGAAACCAATATCATAAAATATGAGAAGATCAGAGGCAGGGATTAGTGATGGTACTTGTTCAAGAATTAAACAGGCAAATATTGGGCAGGACAAATATCAAGCTGATGGAACAGATATTTGACAGATAGACAGGCAGGCAAATAAGCTTTTGTAAAAATGGAGAAAAAGGCAGAAGAAAATTTAGTGGATGGTGAGCTAGCTAAAGAGTTAAGAACAGAAGTAAGTGTCACGCACACACAGACTTTTTTTTTTTTAGCGAGGTGGTTATCGGTCTCTTTTTCCCGGTTAACCAGTACTAGGTCAAGAGGAAGCGACCTCAAGTTGCGTCAGGAGAGGTTTAGACTGGATATGAGGAAAAATTTCTTCCCTGAAAGGGTTGTCAAGCATTGGAACAGGCTGCCTGGGGAAGTGGTTGAGTCACCATCCCTGGAGGTATTTAAAAGACATGTAAAGGTGGCACATAGGGACATTGTTTAGTGGTGGAGCTGGCAGTGTTGGCGTCGTGGCTTGAGCCTGGTCGGCAGCCAAACACCACACAGCCACTCACTCCTCCCTTCTCTTCCAGTGATGAGAAGGGACAAATGAGGCAGGCTTCGGATTCAAGATAGGACTAGGTGGGGCAGATCATCCATTATGATCACGGGCAAAAGACAGACTCAGTGGAAGAAAAAAAGAACATAGACTTATAACAGACACTAACAACAGCATTTAACAGAGTAGGACAGTGAGAAGCATTGCCACATCTTGGGAACACCTTCCCCCCACCCCTCCCTTCTTCCCGGGCTCAGCTCTGCTCCCGATATCTCTACCTCCTCCCCCAGGAGCACAGGGGGCAAAGAATGGGGGGTGCAGTCAGGGCTGCCGCTTCTGCCATCTTCAGTGGGGGAAGCTTCTGGAACTTATTCCCCCTGCTCCAGCGTGGTCCCCCTCTCACAGGAGACAGTCCTCCACAAACTTTCTCCAACATGAGTCCCTCCCATGGGCCACAGTGTTTCCTTACACTGCTCCGGCATGGGACGCCAACTTTCTCCAACTGGAGTCCCTCCCACAGGCTGCAGCCCTTCCTGGGCTGTTCTGGTGTGGGACACCCCTGCATGCTGCAATCCTCCCAGCGCTGATCTACATCAGCGGGGTCTACTATTTCCCACAAGACCCCGGCCTCCTTCAGGCACAGACACCTTGATCATCCATGTGAAATACAGTCCATAAATCAGTGCCTGCTCCACACTAGATATTCATGGGTGACGGGGGGGCCGTACTGTCGTCTCACCACAGGATACAGAGGGGTCTCTGATCAGTTTTGGTGCAGAGGTGGAGCTGACTTGGAGGTGGGGGACCTTCGAGAAGCTTCTCACAGGGGACCACCCCTATATCCCTCTCCCCTGCTGCCAAAAAATCCCACCACTCATTCAAACCCAGGACAGTTAGGTTAATGATTGGACTCGATGATCTTAAAGGACTTTTCCAGCCTGAATGATTCTAACATATCATTACTTCCCAGTATTACAAGAGTTTGTTGAGCCTTCTGTCTGTCTCGGGGGCAGTTATTCTTAGTGGCCAAGAGTGCTGAAGGGAGCATGTGAGTGCTCAGGGAGGGTGCAGAAATGCTGCTGATGGTTCCATGAGAAAGGATTGTGCTGACAGAAAGAACTCCTATCTTGTTCGTAATGCCCTTTTTTGGAGTTAGGGTTGCCATCTTCAGAAGTCCTGAGGAAAGTATTAACACATTTGGGCTTAAGTAAGAAAGATGGGCAGGAGAGTGGAACTCAGCTCAAGGCGCTTGTTGCAGTTGTCTGAACATACGCACTTGAGGCCGTTAAAGATACTCTTTTACACCCAAGCCTTTAGAACAAGTCTGTAGCTTTGTTCAAGGACCAGCAAGACAGACCTGCCTGTCATTTTGAAGTGCCAACTTGAAGGCCATGCAGGGTACCTTTGGGCATCTGGAGTGGCAGCAAGCTCCTACGGGAGGTATTTGTACCTTGGTGGAATTTAGATGCTTAGCTGATATAGGGACGTCTAAGCCTGGATCTCTTCAGGGTCTGTTGCCAACATCCAGGAGTCTGTTCACATCTTAGATTGCTACCTTGCACGTTCCACAAGATTGGCACGTGTGAAGCAGAACCAAATGGATTCCCGTGTCTTTCTAGAGCATCAGGTGGAGGACACACAAGTCTCTGGTATGATGCCTACAGATGCCTTCTCTTAGGTGACCAAATCACATTTGTGTTCTCGTAGTGAGTATTGTTTCAAATGCCTCACCGTTTAATGCTTAATGCTACTGCATGGATCTGAATTGTCAAGCTGGAAAGGATGAAGTCTTTCTAAAAATCTGTGGATTGCAAACACATGGCCAACTGGGTCAAGGTATCATCTCCAGAAATCATACCTGTAGCCAGGAGTTTGTCCTCCATCCTCTGCATCTAGGCCATAATGAACTGTCGTTCAGAGCACCCCTTGATTCTCTCCTCAGTAATCCAAAAGGCAGACATAACACATCTAGTGCCTGAGAATGTCATATGCTTTTCATCTAACTCAACATGGACCTGCAGGTCAGGCTAGGACTGAAGGTGGTGAATGTCTGAGTAAAGAACCACAGCACCAAAAAATTAAGCACGTGCTTATAAACCGCTGCACCCCACCTTGGGAACTGGGATTTAGTGCCTAAATATAAGTAGAAATCGAGTGCTACGAGGAATGTACATACTTTGCAGGCATGAATTATGACGAAGGACTTGCAACAGGCCTGTTCTCTTCCGGATCCACAGGTAAGGTCTGGGCAGGCTCCCTGAGGACATTGAACGTGTCTGTAGCAGTCTGTGTAAATGCAAATCAATTGTTTCATCATCCACCATAATGTGAATCTGGAAAAGTAGCTGGACACATAGACATTGAAATATATCAATCTAGGCAAGATAAGCCACACTGCTAAAGCTAGTAGAGGGGAAACTCACATCCATTTTTAAGTTTCTGTTTAAATCTGGGTTCATTAGCAAGGTTCCCCTTCTACTTCATGGAAATAAACCGATCCCTCCAGAGGGCTGACTCAAGCCAGTTGTTGACAATACCGTTCTCAGCCTGTGAACACCCAAAATGTAACACATGGTACCTCTCTTCAGCTATACAGAAGGTCTGAATGACAGGAGGGTCATTCAGCTGCCTACACATAGCCATCAAGTGATCACTTCATACCTTAGATCATCCAGGACAACTGCATGGGGCTGTCAGCTGTGCCACAAGGCCTGCAGGAGACACGCGTGCTTCTGTATTGGAAGCCAGAGACCAGATGGGGCACTGTTAAGACATCTAAAAATGACAGGAGAAGCATCAAGTCCTTGAAAATCTCCCCTCATCTACATCTATGCAATTAACATCTAGCTGTGCTGAACTACGTGAGGTAATGAATAAGTTTTCAGTCTCTTGAAATACAGTGTCCTTTTGACCTCTTTCCTCATAAATATGAGAGGTGGAGGAGTCACATTCTGAGTCTTCTTCTTGTTTTAGTCACTTTCCTCCAGGAAAGAGTTTTCTCCCTAACGTTCTTTTCAGGGCAGATCTCACCTCCTGGTTCCTAAGAGTGTAGATCAAGGGGTTCAGAGCTGGGACGACAGCACTGTATATGAGAGACACGTGCACCTCTCTTTTAGGGGAGCTTCCTGAGGAGGGTGGTGTATAATTGAAGAGCACTGGTATGTACAACAGTGCCACAATGGTGAGGTGGGAGGCACAGGTGGAGAAGGGCTTCCATCTTTCCTGGGACTGGGCTTTCTGGAAGATGAAGGAGATGATGTAGAGGTAGGAGAGGACTATGAGAATGAAGGGGCCTAGAGCAATAGATGACGTGACAACATTGAGGAGGGTCATGTTGAGGCTGGTACTACTGCAAGCCAAACTCAACAGTGGCTTGATGTCACAGAAGAAGTGATGAATGTAGTTGTGGCCACAGAAACTCAGTCGAGAGGCCATGACTGAATGCATCACGCTATGTACAAAACCAGTCGACCAGCTGGCCACAGCCAGCAGCAGACAAGTCCGTGGGCTCATGACAAGCGCGTAGCGCAAAGGGTTGCAAATGGCCACGTAGCGGTCATAGGCCATGGCAGCCAGGAGCACAGCCTCAGTACTGCCCAGGAAGTGGAAGAAGTGGAGTTGGGCCAAGCACCCGGCAGCAGAGATGGGCTGATGCCCAAAGAGAAAGCCAGCCAACATCTTGGGAACAGTGACTGTGGAGTAGAAAATGTCTAGGCAGGACAGGTTCCCCAGGAAGAAGTACATCGGTATGTGGAGCCGGGGCTCAGATATCACCATGGTCACAATGGCACCATTTCCCAGAAGACTGGTCAAGTAGAGCAACAGAAAGGAGACGAAGAAAAAGTGCTGCAGCCCCGGGATATTGGTGAGGCCCAAAAGGATGAACTCACTGACCTCTGTCTGGTTCACCATTGCTAGAATCGTAAAAAGCAAAGGCAAACTGTCAAGGTTCCACAGTTGTGAGGAGTAACAGGATTACAAAATTCATTTGCTTCTGTGCTCTTTTAATAGAAACAAATGCAGAATAGAACAAAACATAACACATGTAAGCAAAAATAAAAGCTGCGTAGAAATTCAAGTAATTAACATGGACAAAAAGAACTTTGATGTAGTCTTCTACCTTCTGTCTAGGACAGAGTAAAATGTTAGAGGGGAAAATATTCAAACAGAAACTTACATCTAGCAAACAGCAGGACATGTAAGATGCAAAACATTGCTGCTCCTTCACCTTCAGCCACATTCACATTTCAAATCTGCTCATCTGTAACTTGCTGGTACAACCTTTCATGTCACCAATGTCACCAATAAAGCTTCTAACTCATAATGTGAATCAGGCCCAATGCTGTCTTTCTAATACTGTGCCTAGATTTCATTAAGCCAGCTTCAACTTTCACCTTTCTAATGGCTACCATCTCTTCCAGAGAGTTCTTTGATCTTAAAAATTACACAATTTCCAATTTTGATCAACAACCACCAGAAGGTGCTCCCGGGTACCACGGAATCATCAGCCTTTCTTCTGCATGTTTCCGAGAATAAAGGAGAGGATGCTTTAGCATGTGATCACAAACTGGTTTTGTTATGGGACTGTATGCTTTGCCTAGAGAACGTCTTTTTGTTGATCAGCAGCAGATGAATGGGACGAAAGGCAGCAATCTCGTCTCCTACAACACTGTGATGGAGCAAGGCTGAATTTGCAGGAGCTGAGTTTGCTGGTGTGAGTTGCAGACAGATTTGTTCATCCCACTGAAAACTGATTGTCCTGCCCCACTGAGACAATCTGATCAGTTCTGACAGGATCGCTCCTCTCCTCAAACGTGAACGAGTAAGCACTAGCTTTCACTCTTTTTTTCTGTTTCAGATAAGTTTCTTTATCGCTATGGGCAAGTCCCAGCCATAGACAATAAAGAACAAAGTCCTGAGATATTTTTACAAGGGCAGGTAGGCAGGTACTTTTTTTACAAGGGCAGGTATTTCTAGCTTACCATATAGACTGCAAATTGTACAAGACAAGTTGTTTTCTCTGTACATTCAATGCAGTGATGATTAATATTGATGAATACGACGAATGAAAAAAAGAATCACTTCCAAAATATTTCTTGCCAAGAACGTAAAACACCTATAGATACATTTCATAGTCTTTCTTGTCCATTTCACTGAACTATATGCTTTTATTGAAAACAGGGGATTTCTGAAAGTCCTTATGATAGCTCTCCAGCCCAGTCACTCTTTTTCTCATGTTTCTTTAGCTTATTGTTTCAACATAAAACCAGTAAACAAACAGAAAGCTTCTAAACTGATTTCATAATAAAAGACCATGAGCACGTAGCCTAAAGGTAATTTACGCACATATGCATCCACTCTAAAAACCTGATCAAATTTCTCTGAAAATACTTTTAGTCTGATCTTTGAAGAAGTTCTGCTGGCAGCATCAGATTTGATAATATTATAGCCTTATCAAAATTTTAGTCAGTCACCTGTATTTGAAGAGGTATAGAGGCAATTTCAATTAGAAGGTTCTCCCTTAAATGCAAACACAAAGAAAAGACTGATGAAGCCTGCCTATTTTTCCAACTACATAAATTGCATAATAGAAAAAAGATAATTCTGCACAAAGCTCACCTCACTACCAATCAGCATTTTCCTCCTTGTAGTAGGGCCCTCTGATAGTGAGCCAGAAAGCAAACCTGAGGACAAAACAACTTATTCTGCGGAGTTAAAAGACTGATAAATTCTGTTCTCCCTTTTCCCTCCATATCTACTTGGCATTCTTCTAGCTGAGAGATTAATACTGCAGGTGTGATGAAAAGGACTACCGCAAGTTCCCAGGGGCTTGTACTTATTCAGGTAGGATGCAAGGAGGAAGCTTTGCAAGCTGTACCTGAAACCTCTGATGACCTAGTTAGAGGGGGAAAAAAGTCTTTTTATCATGTTCAGAATGTGCAAAATATCAACAACATCGCGTGGGAGGTAAATTTCCTATTGCTTTGATCGGTCTCCTGAGATGAGATTTGCAAATCAATGGTGAGTTTCAGAGCAACGAACAAAGCATTCCCTAAACATGTATATGCAAGGATGAGCCACCTGTAAAACAGAAGACAAAAAAGGAAGCAGACCACAGACACTAGCTAATGAGAAAAAAAAAAAACGCCAAACCCAAACAAAACAACCAACCCTCCCACCACCACCCCCCTGAAAGAAAAAAAAAAAATCCAACACACATATCTCCATCTCGGTGCACGGATTTGATGGTTGAAATTTCTACTGGCAAGAGAGGCATGGGTCGTGCAACCTCAGCTGAGCTGGAGCAGTGTTTAGGCAACGTTTCCTAAATCTCTTCCAAATATTAGAATTTGCAAAACCTAGTATGTGTTCCATCCATTCAGATGTGTTAGGATTTCTGAAGTTTTATTTTTATTGGCATTTCAGAGATAAGGAGGAGTTTCTGGCCCCTTCATAGTCAAAACCATCCCAGATTTGCATCTTTCTTAAGCTTCATTTTCAATCCGGTGCAATAATTTCCACAACTGTTTACAGAAGTAACATGTTCAATTCTAGTCCAAGTAGTTCAGAAGTCGGTCTGTAAATCCCACAGGAACTTCTGAATCATACAGAGGCCTCTTTCTAGGAAGGTGGCTTTAAAATTTCTTCCGTAAAGTTCCTGGCAGCTCTCCTCCAGCCCAATTGCGGGTTTGAAAACACAGTGTGTTCGGTGTAGTTTTGTAGACATACACAATAATGTAGGTTGGAAGAAACCTCTGCAGTCTCGGGCCTGCCCCTGCTCAAAGCAGGACAACTGGGTAGGGTCTTGTCCGGTAAAGTTTTCAACAATTTCAAGGACGTTTGGGCAAGCTCTCTGGGCAGCCTCTTCCAAGTCTGAACACCCTAAAGGTGAAAAAGTATCCCTCAGTATCTAATCCAAATTTACCATGTTCCAACTTGCACCCATCACCTTGCATCTTACGACCGTGCTCCTCTGAGAATGATTTGCCTCCGTCTTCTCTGAGAGAATCCACCCCCACACTAAGTAGGTGCTGACAGTAAGATGATCCCCTTCCCCTAGGAAGGGACAAGGATGAAGAAACCCAGTCTCCCAGCCCTGCCTTGCCCTTGGGGTGTGTCAGACCACGAATCACCCGAGTGTCCCTGTGTTCCTCTACTGGACTCACTCCACTAGGTAACGTCTTTCCCGTACTGGGTAGTCCAACATTGGACACATTCTTCCAGACAATGATCTCAGAAGTGCCAAAGAGATCACTCCCCTCCACTGGCTGCCTGTGCTCTTGCCAGTGCACCCCAAGGTGATTTTGAACTTCCATGAAGCTAGGGCATGCTGCTGGCACACCTTCCACTTCTTGTCCACCTAACCCCCAAAAGTGGCTTTTTCTTCAAAGCTGCTTTCTACCTAGTCATCCCTCTGGCCCGCCCCGTTGTGTGGGATTGTTTCTGTCTTCCCAGATGTCCAAGTCCTCATTTGTTTTTCTGGAGCTTCAGGAGGTTCCAGTCAGACCACTTTTCTGGCCTGTCAATGTCCCCCTCAGGACAGTCTCTTCCCTCCAGTGCATTACCACTCGCTCCAGTTTGGAAGCATCAGCAAACATGCTGAGAGTGCGCTCTATTCCATCACTCAGGTTCTCAAAACAGAAATTAAACCGTACTAGCCACAGTACTGGTCCCTGAGAATTACCACTGGTAACTAGCTGCTAGCAGGATCTCTTGCCACGTAGCCATTGGAGCCTGGTAATCCTGACCACTGTCATTATTATCCACTTGCCCAGAGCATATCTTCCAAATTTAGGTCTAAGGCGTCCGTAGGAGATTGTGCTGAAGGCCTTGCTCAAATTAAGGTACTCAACATCCACTGCCCTCCCATGTCTATCCAGACAGTTATCTCATCACAGAAGTCAGTCAAATTGATCGGGCCTGATTTGCCCGTGTTGTATTCATGCTGGCTGTTCCCACCACCTCCTTGTTCTTCGTGGACCTCAAAACGACTACCAGAAGGGATTATTCCATCACCTTCCCAGGTACTAGAGGTGAGACTGTAGTTCCTCAGCTCCTCCTTCTTGCTGTTCTCAAAGAGGGGGGTGATGTTTGCCTTCTCCCAGGCATCAGGGCCTCCTGTGGTCACCACAACCTTTCAGAGACAAAAGAGAGAGTGAACTTGCAGTGGCACCAACCACCAGTCAGTCCCTTCACCACTGCCCTCAGGTGCTTCCCATGCAGTCTCACTAACTTTTATATATGCAATTGAACTAAGTGTTCTAACAGAGTCTCCTTATCCTGCTCATGCTGTTTCGCTCCCACATACTTTGCTAGTAGGCTTAAGGAACTGGGGACTTAACTGTCTCAAGGCTGAAGAGGAGCCGTATTGGAGTGATGTATTGGACAGGCTGCACTGGTAGCGTGCCTCAAGATATTGTTGACCTGAACAATGAGGGGAGGCAAGCTGTAGCTAGAAGACTATCCCTGGACACCTGGAAAGGTGTGTTAGGGCACCTTCCTGCTAACTGAATCAAGAAGTACAAAGAAGTGACACTCAGAAGTAAAAGAATGACAAACAAACAAAGAAAAAGCAGACAATGACCCTGCTTATTACCTATAATGACACCTGTAATTACCTCACAGCAAGCAGGAATCAAAGAACTGTTGAGCAATGCTGGCAGCCAGGCAAAGCCTTTTTGTCTAAAAGGCTGCGGCATACACAAAGTCAGGGGGTCACCAAGACAAGTATTACTCCAAAACCCAGGTGGTATAAATGTAAACAAGCAGCTCTTGAAGGAAGAGTGAGCCACTTGGGCCAACCGACGTGTGGAACAGCAGCAGCTGAGGAAATGGCAGTAAGAACATAAACTCTATTATCTCTGGTCTCTCTGAGGCTGAGCACAGAGCATGGCATCATTCCGGCTGTTTGTGGTTCTCCCCCTGAGCTTGTTAAGTGATGTTAGAGCACGGCCACCTCCCCCAGCTGCGCTGGCCCAGCACCCTCCCACCCAGCAAAGGGGATGGCGGCTGCCGCTTTCCCATCCGCATGTTCAACCAGCAACGAAGCCGAGCGTGTATCGCAGACACGTGCAGACACACAGTGGTACACACACAGAGAGGACGCCGACACAGCCGGTCATGCAAAGTGCCACAGACAAGCAACAGCACCTTCAGAGAGGACTCACATAAAACATAAGCACAGACAGACACGTCCCCTTCCTTCTCTCCAGCTGGTCAATTCTTATCACCCCTTGTCACACTGAAAAGGTTCTTGACCAGGTTCCCCTAAAGGAGCAGGCACTGCCCCGCCACATATCCTTACGAACGTGTTTAATTCTCTCACCATATAGGCTATGTCTAGACTGCTTTTGCTAGCTTTGGGTAACGGCCCATGGCTACTCACTATGTTTCAGGGAGGAAATTCACCCTGCCCAAATGAGAACCCAAGTGTCACGAGGTGTGGGATGTGGTGACTTCGGGCTCCACACCAGCATAACACCACAAACAGGAGCGTTGGGAGTATAGGTTTCAACTGAAGACATGTTTATACAAGCACAAGGCATTTACTTAAGACAGAAGTAAAAGTGGAAACTTTGTATGAGGGAGTGGGTTAATTGAAAACCGCCAAGTGACTCAGTTTATTCTTAAATTTTCTGCAACTGTGTAAGCATCCTACCTGTTGGCCACTCCCCGCTCCTGTGGGGAGAAAATCAAAGGGAACTGAAAAGACTCGTGGGTCAAGGTAATACCAGTTTAACAAGAAGGGCAAAAGCGGCACACACAAGCAAAAAAGGAATTAATTCACTGCTTCCCATCATCAGGCAGATGTCCAGCCGCTTCCTAGGAAGCAGGGCCTCAGCGTGTCTAACTGTTACTTGTGAAGACAAACGCCTTAACCATGAACATGTCCCCTTCCTCCTCCATTCCCCAAGCTTTTACTGCTGGGCACAACATCCTATGGCATGAAATATCCCCTTGGGCAGTTTGGGTCAGCTGTCCTGGCTGCATCCCCTCCTAGCCTCTTCCCTACCCCCAGATACTGGTCTTTGTGGGGGGTGGGACTGGAGAGAAAGACTTGACTGTACAAGCACCGTTCAGCGACAGCCAAAATAGTGGTGTTTTATCAACACTGTTTGAGCCACAAATGCAAAGCACAGACCGTACAGGCTGCTCTGAGGAAATCTGGCCCCATCCCAGCCAGGCACAGTACAATCTCCACACTTTATTCCATACCATCTGCGTCACGCTCACGTCCGACCTCGTCTGGTACATCGGCGTATCCTCTGACCATTCCAGTCACCCGCTTTCCTTTCTATAGCCTACTCAAACCTTCCCACGTACCTAACCCACACTGCATTAAAACATGTCATCCCTCTTTTTATGTCCCATTTTATCCATTTCTTATTCCCAAAATCCCCTCTTACCAACACTCGTAACTTACACTACTATGTTGGCTTGATCTTGGACTGCAGCCAGACTCCAACACAGCCATCCACCCATACCCCCTCCTCAACAGGACAGGACAGGAGGAGAAAATAAGACAAAAAAGCTCTTGAGTTGCAGTAAGATTTTGGAGGTCATTGACTGATTACCAGCATGGGCAACACAGACCAATTTGGGGTAAGTTAACTTCATTTATTGCCAATTAAAATGGATCGGATGGGTAGAAACAAAGACAAAACTAAAACACCGTCCCCCCACCCCTCCTTTTTCTTCCCAGGTTCATCAAAACCTAACATGTACACCCAATACACCAGGAATCGTATGATCGTCCTTTTGTGTTTGTAGTAGTGTGCCTTTGTTGCTTCTGCTTTACCAGACAGTGATGTCAATTAGGTATTCATCACACAAATTGGAAGAGAAAATGCTGCTCGGATAGAAGCAAGAGCAGAATTGGGCTTGAAGTTAGACTGAAATAAGCAGAGAGAAATAAATGCGCAAGTCACATTTCGCTTTAATGAACGCTCCACGTGGCAAGTCAGAAAAAGAATCAGACAGAAAGTATCATGCTCGATGAGTTAAGAAACAATCCCCTCCCATAGTTTGCTTTCAGCCTACATGAGAAGGGAATCAGTTAAAACAAAGCTACTGCAGCTGGCTGGCAATGTGTCAGTTGACCCTTTCTGTTTTGAACTGAGCAAGTCACTAGCTACTTTGGGAAAGAGATCTTTGTTCTGAGAGGAAAAAAAAATCCAATCAAGTCTAGACTTGAACCCGGTCTCTCCCGTCAGTAGGAAAGACACTTCCAAGAGACGCAGCTCCTTTCCTCCAATCATAAGATACCAACTTGTTTCTCAACTCATTATTGAGGTGTTTGGGTGTGGGGTTGGTGTTTTGGGGGGGAGGGGGGGAGGGGTAGGGGCGGAAGGGGGCGAGAGAGAGAAGTTCCAGGCTATCACTTTTGCTTTCACGGTGAGGAAAACAAACTTCTTTTTTTCCCAACGCAGAGACTTTATAAACTTATGGACATAGAGGTAGAATGATGGGGGAGGATAAGAATTTTATAATCCGCTTTTGTAATATTCTGTAACACTGAATCGGGTTTACGTCTTTGTCTGCAAGCCCAGAGGTACAGCAACTATAATTCATTCTAATATGCCAAGTAAAAAAGGCTGGATATTTTGGGGATTTAACAGCAAAGGATTGCTAAAAAGACACAGGTCTTTTTCAAAAGCATTTCACTTAATTCATAAATTCCATTTAATGTTTTCACTTGGGTAACACTTCTGATTTCTCTTCTGTGCAGTGACAAGGAATCTGTCACCTGGGCAGAGAAAAAATAGCCATCTGCTTCCTAAGTAACCGCTTGCCAACTCACCTCTTCAGGCTTTGCTTGACTTTCTGATTCCTCAAGCTGCAGGTGATGGAACAGAGCATGGGGGTGAGAATTGTGTAAGACAGGGAAGCCATTCTCTTCCTGTCATATGAGAGGCTGTACTTGGGTCGCAGGTGAATGATGCCAGTTGTGCTGTAGAAAAAAGTCACTGCCACCAGCTGAGCTGCACAGGCGGAAAAGGCTTGCCTCTGGCCCACAGCCAAGGGTATCTGAAGAACAGCATGGATAATGTGAAGGTAAGAGGTGGCTATCAGAGGAAAGGGAATCATCGCTGTTACGACAGTAGCAATGAGAATCAGTAGTTCAGACAAGGCTGTGTCTGCACACACCAGCTTCAACATAGGAAAAACATCACAAATGAAATGATCGACCTCATTTCTCCTGCAGAAGGGCAGGGTAAATAACCGTGTGGTGAAGCCTGGAGCCACAGGGACACCAGACAGCCAGGACCCAGTAGCCACCTTGAAGCAGCGATGCCTGTTCATCGTGGTGGCGTAATGCAATGGGTGCTATATTGCCGCGTGCCAGTCACAAGCCATTGTACCTAAGAGGAAACCCTCGCAGGTGACCGAAAGAATAACACAGCTGAGCTGCAAGGCACAAGCTATGAAGGAAATAATTTTTCTCTCCACCACCACAGCCGCGAGCAGCATGGGGACAATGCTCAGGCTGTAACAAATCTCTGTCAAGGCAAGATCCTGTAGGAAGCAGTACATGGGTGTGTGTAGGACAGGGTCAGTGGTTGCAATCACAACAATTAGAGAGTTCCCTATCAAGATGGCCAGGACCGTGATGGAAATTAGCGTGAAAAATAGGAGCTGCATCTTGTCATGGAAAGCAAGCACCAAAAGTAAGAAGTGAGTAGTGACAGTTTGGTTTCCTGGCTCCAATTCCTCAACAGGTCCCATCCTAAAAGGGAAAAAAAAACAAAAACAAAAAAACAAAAACAAAAACAAACAAAAAAAAAAAAAAAACAACAAAAAAAAAAAACAAAAAAAAAAAAAAAAACAAAAAAACAAAAAAACCACGCTACAAAAGGATTAGTAGCTTGGGACAGACTTGTGGTCTCAGAAATAACTACAGTTGCAAGTAAAACCAGGTTTAAAGCATGGGGGGAAACTTGGATTGGGCATGACGATGACCCCAGTGTAAGAAATCTCAACTGGAGAACCTGTGCAAGATCATCTTTAACAGTCACAGTCTGGGATTCATCTTCCCTAAGTTAGGTGAACAGAAGATAGACATACACATTTCAAATAACCGTTCTGTGTTTATTTTATATAGACAGAGATAGACACCTTCAAAGGGCAGGTCACCTTAGCGTAAGAGTGACATCTGTGATGAGACAGAAGAATTTCACTTTGGATGGGCTGGATGCCTCTCAGTTAACTTCAGCATCTAAATCTCTGCAGACATCTAAATGTGAGCCAGTCTTCTTAGAATCACTTTATATTTAATGACGAGAAATACAGCACAAGACAGAAACACAATTTCTTTCCTCTAAGATGGATGTCCAAGGATGTCAGCATTGGTGGTATCATTAATAATGAAGTGAGTATACCTTGACCAAATATTTAGATAGCTGGAATTCGCTGAAATTCATTTCATAATTGGTGCTCTAAGCTAGATGATACAAAGATCCTGTGGCTCTCCACCTACTGCTTTGACTCAAGCCAAAGTGACCTACCCACATTATTTTCATTGTTAACCCTGCAAAAGTACAATCCAAACCTAAACAAGTTTGAATCAATAAAAGTGTTCATGCACTTACATTTCTTTCACCAAACCGTATAAAATCCATATTCTGTCTCTTCGTAGTCAGAAACATAGATGAGCTCTGGGGAGGAAAAAGACGTTCAGCGTGCAAACAGCTGCCCACATAAAAGTGGTTGCCAGCATCTACACTTTGCTGCCTTTTTCTGGGAATTTATCGTCTCCTCAGATCTGCTAACACAGTTATTTGTCTGCAAAACTTCCTGGACTGTTTCAGCCAAAATACACTTGGCTGATTTTTGGAAGACACATAAAGAGAATAGTAGAATCATATTTTTTCCTTCTGTATTTACACCATCGGGATTGAGATACCGTGACCCACAAGATCTGGAGTTTACTTTTACTCTAAGTGAACTAAGGATTAATGCTTTCCCTTCAGGATTCACGTGCATGAGATGAGAATATATAGCTACGTGTAATAAAAATCCCAAACTAATAATAAGAAATAGAATTAGAGAATTAGACTCCCGTGAAGGTATTTGTACGTCCAGTGGGATTTTGGCTTCCACCCACAGAAGGAGGAAGACTCTTGCTACCTACACAGCAGTCATACTGTACGACTAATATACTTTTTCTGGAGTCTTTGGGATTTCAGGATTTCTGAAAATGCCTTTTCCTTTTCCTTAACAATGTTGAAAGGGAAAATGAGAAGACGAGAAAGTACAGACTCGTGTGTGATTCGTTTGTTCAACATATTCATCAGCAAAATAGGCAGCTACAGTTGCCAAAGTTTTCTATAGACAAGAGAAATAAGCAAGTAGACTGTCAATATAATTAATGTTTCTACACCATAGACATCTAAAATAATAAGAATCACTGATGCTACAGAGGTTCCTATTTCTCTCCGACGAGCGGGTGAGTAATTCACATGTAAACATCTGCATTGCTGGTGCCTCAAGGCAGGTGGGATAGATTCTTCTTGTATATAGTAATAGCAGTGCCAGGCTCCAGTTAGAAAAACAAACCTTGGAAACACACTTATGTTTGGCTTTGCCTTAGGAATCAACAAAGAATGAGGAATAGAAATTGAAATATTACCTTCCATTACTGAAACTGGTAGAATTTTTCCTCTGTCTTTGGTGGGGCAATATTCCAAAGGCAGAGAGGAAGAGAACTGACAAATAGGGAGAAAAAAAAAAAAAAAAAAAAAAAAAAAAAAAAAAAGACCAACAGAAAACCCCCCTTTGTTTTCCCCTGTAAGAGGCAGCATCTCCTCTCTGATCCCAAAGGCTCCTACAGCTAATGGGTGGAGGTATTTGAATTTCCATGTGCTCTCGGTAGGGTCAGGTCTCCAGACAGCAACTGCTCAGTACGATGAAATCATATGTTAAATGATCTTTTTTTATCCATGGTCTGTGTAAACATGCAGTGTGTTTTAAGACATACTAGCTGTCTAAGTATAGTACAAGCAAAGTTTCCTTCCACATGTTCAGAGTTGTACAAGTAGCGTGATATCATTGTTAACAGTAATTATAACAGTCCAGTAACAGTAATAAAACCAGCAGTATTCTCTTATCGTTTTTCTTACCATCTAGCTTACTAATATTAGGGGGGAAAAAAATGGTGTTTGGCATCTGTTGGTTTCCCAGTAGCTGAAGAGACTTTCAAGAGTTCATAAAAAATACTGGAGTAGCAGTGGTGTTATGAATATCGAGCATTGCAATATGGTACCAATGTATTCCATAGCCCTAAATACAGCAAGCAATAGTACAATAAGAGCTTATCTTAAAGACCTTTTTTAAAAATTATTTCTTCTTTTGTCCACTTTATTCTGGAAATGGTAGATTTCTTTTGGTAAATGTCTGCTGGTCATCTAAAACACTCTCCCTGCTGGTGTGGTAACTCAGTGTAAGACACGGGTGAAAAATTAGGTGATGTGAATTCAGGACTGGAACGTTTAACCCTTAATGAACTCCAGCAAAGTCTATGTCTGTATCCTGAAAAATCCAGAAACACAAGTCAAACGAGTGGAACAAGAAGAAAGCTGTTGTACCAGTGCATCACAACTGGGAAACGTCACAGAGGAGCCATTAATACCCTCCTGTTGAAAAAGGTTTGACTTGAACCCTGACCCCCTGACTGTACACCATGCAGATCTTATCCTGCTTCTGGTCTGCCATGAATTACGTGGCTTTCTCATTTGTGTGAATTCTCTCACTCGTGCGAATGCAAAAGTCTTTAGCCATGTGTGGTAGCCCAGCTTTGGCGGCTGCCAGGCTCCCACCCAGCTGCTCCCCCACTCCCCCTCCTCAACAGGGCTGGACAGGGGGAGAAAATAAGATGAAAATGCTTGTGGGTGAGGGAAATCACTTAGCAGCTGCTGTCACGGGCAGAACAGACTGACTTGGGGAAAATTATTGCCAATTACAGCAGATGAGAGGATGAGAAACAAAGACAAAACTAAAAATCCTTCCTTGCACCTTCCCCTTTTTCCTGGGATCAGTTTCATTCCTTCATTCCCAAATCTTCTATGTCCTCCCTCTTGGAGCAGTGCAGGAGGACAAGGAGTGGGGGGTTGTGGTTGGTTCATAACAGTTTGCCTCTGCTGCTTCTTCCTCCTCAGATTTTTCCTCTGCTCCACAGTGGGTCCTCTCTGGGGGCTGCAGTCCTTCACGGTAAACCTGCTTTATCATGGGCTTTCTGTGAACAGGCAGCTGTTCCATACTACTAAAACCTTGTCATGTGCACCCATTACACCAGGAATTATATCACTGACCTTTTATATTTGTAGTACAGTACCTTTTAATTCTTTTTTTTTTTTTTTTAATGTTTTTAAGTCAGACCTTTGACATTTAAAGGTTAAAAATAGCCTACCACGTTGAGTTATTTGGCAGATGTCCTTCTACAGCCTGTCCATAAAAAACTACAGGTAATACACATCTTTGTCTCTCTGTACCTGTCTTGGTTTGGGCTGAAATAGAGTTAATATTCCTTTTCAGGGACTAGATGAGTGCTGTGTTTTGGATTTAGCTTTGGGTTTGGTATGGGAAAAATGCTGATAGCACACTGGTGTTTTCAGCTGCTACCGACACTTCAAGGACTCTCCGACTCCCCACGTCCTGCCCGTGCGCAAGGGCACAGGGAGCAGGGAGGGAGCACAGCCACAGCACCAGACCCAAATTGGCCAGTGAAATATTCCATATCACGGAACGTCATGCCCACTATACAGAGGAGGGGTGGTTGGGAAGGAGCTCTCTCTCTCTCTCTCTCGCTTCCGGGATTGCGATTGAGGGATCTTGGTATCTCGGGGTCGCTGGCCGGGAACGGGCTGGGTATTGGTTAGCGGGTGGTGAGCAATTACGCTCTACATTGCCTGTTTATATATTTCTTTTTGTTTTCCCCCTATCATCGTCATTGTTCTCGTTTTATTGCCATTATTAAACTGTTCTTATCTCAGCCTGCGAGTGTCCCTTCACCCCTCTAATTCCCTCCCCGCTCCCAGGTGGGGAGGGGGAAGGGAGGGTGATCAGCTGCGGGGGTTGGTTGCCGACCAGGCCCAAACCACGACAGTACCATGGAGTGAAGTTGTCTGTCACCCTGACCTGCATTGCTAACATCGAAATGCTGTAGTGACCTCTTTCTTATCTCAGAGGCGTAAACCATAGTGAAGCCTCAATGTATATTCTCTCTACTGACCATAAAGGCAGACTCAGATTTTGATTTCTACCTTTAAGGTGACATGGTTAGGACTAACAGAGTCCCATACTTGAGTTCCCTTCACCAATAGGCACTAAGCTCTTTCTTACCTGCGTGCTGTGGCACACTTCAGCTTAATATGAATGTCTCAGATGCTTTAGAAAGAAATTGCCCATGAAGGCATATCTTTCTTGTGACCGCAGGTGAAGCCTTCTTACACGACCAGCTAAAGTGACTAGCTTAGCCTCCGACTTTACCTGTGCTGCAATATAAAGGTGAAACTCTTTCATTACTTCGTGACTTACGGTAGTAAAAGAGTGTTGCTATAGCAAAAAAGAGAACAACCCCAGCAAGAACAGTTTCTGGCTCTATATGCTGAAACCAGGAGCTACCTAAGACAGCATGAGTAGTTTGTCAGGGGGAGGGACTTCACCTCTTCAGACAGGATCAGCAGAGCAAGCGTTGCAAGGAGTCCACCCCATTGCTTTTCTCTCGGGCAATTTTCTTGTTTGAAGCTTTAGTAACTCGCTGGCCCTTCACAGCTGACATAAGAACCTGGTACTGTTTGGAGTCTGTAGGAAGGGACAACAGCCTTCTTACTAGAAGTGACCAGCAACTGATGAGTGAGTTTTAATTTGGGGCATTGTTACCCGTTAACTATTGCCACGTGTTTCTTACTAAGCTAGTATAACTATTCTACCTTTGGAGCTATTCGTGTGTTCAGATTAACACGCGTAACATGTAGCCATTTAGATTTTAATTAATTGTTGGCTGTTTGTAGTCGTTACAGAGAGAAACAGGAATTCCAAAAGAACGATTTCTGTCATCTGTGAGATAAATGCCAAGAAAATATCCATTTCTCTCCGCTAGTTACAGGTTAATCCTTACCAGGTAAGAGGCGGATTTCTGCTTTCCAGATTTTCAAATTCAGACACGGTATGGTTGTTTTAATGTTAAATTTGACAGCTTGCAGTATTTATTTCTGTCTGAATGATTTCTTCTTGGAGGAAGAGCTAAGAGAGGTTTTGGTTTTGGTTTTTTTTTTTTTTTTTTTTTTTGTTTTTTTTTTTTTTATGAGTAGCCAAATCACAAAGAAAGTATGGAGACGTAAAGAGGGAGATAAATATATTAGCATAAATAGATTAACAAAATGTGAGCAGTTAAGGCAACTATTTGCTTGTCTCCCTCTCCCTAAATGATGTTAGAAAAACTAAGTATTTTATCCTAGCTTTTTTCCAGATAAATATTGAGGTCATTCATTGATACTAAACTAGGAGGAGCTGTGGACTCCCTCGAGAGTAAAGAGGCCGCACAGAGAGATCTGGGTAGACTAGCGAGCTGGGTAATCTCCAACCATGTGAAATTTAACAAGAGGAAGTTCAGGATTCTTCACCTGGGACGAGGTAATTCTGGTTATGCAAACAAACTGGGCTATGAGAGGCTGGAGAGCAGCTCCATGGA